TTTATGAGTGTGTGCAATTCGGTGCAGAGCAGACCAAAATAAAAACCTGGATCTAGTGAATTTAATGTGGTTTAATAAGGGGACTGTTTGGCCTTGGTGGAGGCTTGTGCTCCATGAGCGTAGTTTCCTTTTATTCCATTTTATCTGTCTTTGTCTATAACGACTGTGTCAAAGCTGCATATTGGAAGTTAAAAAGGTTTCTTTGTTTTATTCTGAAAACATCTCTCCGCTTCCGCCGGCCAGAGACCCGCAGTAGTTCCGGTGTGTGAGAGAAAGGCGGATGAGACGCTCCTCACTGGGAACAAAGGACGACTCAGTGAGTACTGCTGAATTTCCTCCTGTCTTCTTTCATCCAAATGTCTAATTTGACCATTTTCTAACGTTCACGTGAATTGCTTCTGCTACATTTGGTCTGCCTCTCAGCGGTGACGCCAGAGAAGGCATTTGCCTTTACGCACAAAGCTAGCTGTAGCTCGCATTGTCGTAGCTTTAGCAGCGAGGTTAATTCAAACATCCTGAAAGTGTCGCACACTTCTCACGTGACAAGCAGTCTACAGAAACACTTGGAATTTGTGCCTGCGGCTTTCCCGGAGATAAAAAGTATTCAAAATCCAAGGATTGCATATTAGCCGCAAGATTATTACAGTGCAAACAGCCTCTTTGTGTTAGCGGGGTTGGCTAGCAGGCCAGACATGCTAGCCTTTAGGCCCCGTTAGCCGTGGTTGTTATGAATGAATGATATCAGTCATTTCCCGGTTTGTGTTTGATGACTTCTGTACCAAACAACTAAATCATTATAAGGAAGTGACGGAACTAATCCTATAATTGTGTTTTCTGATTGGTCTTTTTCTAGGCTAACCAATGTGTGAATAGCTCTTTCCGCTTAAACCCAGACTGCATCCACGATGTCAAGTAAGTAAACATACACTTAAACGGAGAGCGTGTTTCTCCGTACACTTGTATAGCAGGGCTGAAAATGTATTTAACCAACCACTCAATGGAAATGTCTGCTAATGTTATGGAGATTGATACAGTTGTTTCCTCTGTGATATGTTGCTCTTGCCTGAAGAGTATAGAATTGGTGTGGTGCAACAAAAACAATTCAACCCCTGGCCATTGTAGCTGTACACATGCAGATGTAGCTCACAGCATCCAGCCTACTGACTTCTTTTTCAGTGCTCAAAGACTCAAGTGCTTAAATGATTTTGTATTGATTTGGACTAAGACAGTGTTTATTAATACAAATCCCTCCTTTCTTGGGTAAACTCTAAGCCAATTTGAATTTTTTTTACCAGGGGTAACAATTGTATGTGGGACAACAGGAACAACAATATGTTCTCATGTGTTTAAAGATCAAGTAGACAATAGATTAATATTTCTTTTCCCGTTCACAGATTACCAAGCATATGTAGCTAGTTTGAGTCAGAATCAGATGGTTTGGTTCAGCCTCACAATTTAACAGGCAAGACTCTTTGAACTAGATTTGTTGTGAAAACCCTTGAATATAATACAGTTAAAGACACGTACAAAGTGTGCTTTCTTGTCGTCTAAGAAACTGCAGAGTGTCTCTGCTGCCCACTTCCTTACACTACCAATTGTATGTCACACTGGATAGCAGAGGGAGTGCCCCAGTATTCAGCTCTCGTGTATTTTATCTGACAATTGAAGAGAAGCCATGGTTAATTAACAAGACACATGCTGCACTTCGGTGCATCACGATGCTCAATATCATTCCTTTATATCAGCCTTGTCATTCCATGCCATTAAAGTTGGTTTCAGACATGCACTGGACACCATAGTTCCTCTGTATTTTCTCTGGAGGAGGTGCATGTGTGAACACAAATGTCTGAGTGAGACAGTCAATAGTTTCTTCAGACGTTATCCGCCTTACCTCCTTGTATAAAGTCTGTAGAAATCCAGGAGAAGTTGGTGTGTGAACACAGCAGGGGATCCCCTCTTGGATCACCGCAAATGGGGGATGCATGGTGCAAAAAGGAAAAATCTCCCAGAAGTTGTCTGCACAGACGCATTCACAACAGCAACAAATCCTCCGCATTATTCAGGGGAGAGACGAAGCAGCCGGGTGCAGCAGACAGAGGCAGGAAAAAACGTATTAAGTCTGCTGCGTAGATCACATGATCATATTTACAGCATCCAACACCTTCGTCAGCTCTTATCACCACAAACTCTCTTGACATCATCATCATCGTTGTGTGTCACTTCTTTTTCACAGAGAGATTTACTTACTTACTTATTTGAGTAAAGGTTGGGGACAGTCGTTTAGGTGGAATGGAAAAAGTGCAGCGGTTCTACTGGCAAAATGAGACTCAATCCTTGACTGATTTGTATCATTGATGTTTAGAAGGCAGTCCCAGTTTTACCTGTATATTGTTTTTATGATGCAAACGAATATATAAAATGTATATATGACCTATAAATAATCAAAACTTTAAAATATATGAACTATAGGTAGTAGCAAGTTGCTGGGATAGCTTACTAACGTTACTTATTTTCTTTCTTGTGCAGAACGGCCATCCTACGCACCTCCCCCTCCCCCGGCCCCAACAACAGTAAGTGTTCAGCTCTCACTTCCAGTTTTTGTTCTTTGGCTGCAGGCCACATCAGTTAACTGATAGTACATGTTAGTGTACTGTTTTTGTTCTTTCTTCAGTGCTATCGTACTCTCTTTGTCCATATTTTGCATTGGTTTGAGTTAACGTTTCTCTGTCTGAATAGACAGAAGATGCCACAAATCTTGTTCAGCTTCCCATCATCAGTTCCACTCCTGCTTTTCCTTTCATGACAAGCACCTATCTAAGATCTTTTAAAGAAGGGGTCATGTTGACACGACTCTTATGGAGTATTATGGCTACTGGGAAATACATTTCTTTGAAATTAGATTTTAGCACTTTCATGTTAATAGGAATCAAAATGCTTTTTTATTGCTTTCCGTTTACATTCAGCAACAGGGCACAACCTACTGAAAGTTAAAGTGCAATGGTGCCCACATAAACCAACATGCACAATTAAATGAATACAATATGCACATAAAAATGTATCATTTGAGCTTGTTGCAAGATCTTGGTGTAGATGCAACATTGACACGTTGTGGTCTGTCTGAATGGCAGCCTGTTGCACAGTTAGTTTTTCTTTTTTGGGCTTGCATGATGATTTCATAGATAACAAACAAGAAAACAAATTTATTTTCATGGTCCCTCCTACCTTTTCACTTATTTCTGTTTATCCTTCTTCCTCTTGTTTGTAAGCCATTTCTCATTCGTGTTTTGTCTCATTTGTCTTCCATCAGCAATTGCCTTCCACCCCTGGGTTTGTGGGCTACAACCCTTACAGCCATCTGGCCTACAACAACCTCCGCCTGGGAGGGAGCTCCGGAGGCTCCAGCAGGGTAATGAATTGATGGAGGGAGGGAATGGGTATGATTTATGGTAAAGGGGGAGGGGGCTCACAGGTATGAGGAAACGATGGAAAGACATGAGCATTAAAAAGTGGAGCTAATACAGAGGCTGTTGGGTTGATAGTGATGGAAAAAATGTTGATAATGCTTGTCAATGGAATGAGATGCGGTATTGTATAATTATAGGTTGTTCAAGTGACATGGGAGTTTTTCTGTTTAGTTTCACACTAGGAGCCGTCACACTTCAACAGTTTCTTTGTAAACAGGCATCATAGTTTCCCCAGTCATATAGTGAGAGTTGGCCCATGTGCATGATGCTTTGTTTTGGCAAAGTAGTCATACTTGTATTATTTGCTGTGTCTCAAATCAGATTAGTCAGTGTGAATGTACTTAAAGGTACAGTGTGTAGAATTTAGTGACATCTAGTGTTGAAATTGCATGTTGCAGCTGAACACCCCTCACATCACCCTCTCCTTTCAAACATGAAAAAGAACCTGTGATAACTTCAGTTGTCATAAAAACCTCAAAAGGATTTTAGTTTGTCCAGTCTGGACTAATGTAAAAAAAAAAAAACATGGCGGCCTCCGTAGCGAGGAGCCCCTCAATGTAAATATAAAGTATTTAAATATAAAGGGTCTTTTCTAGGGTAAAGAAAACTACAATTCATACAATTTAGATGAAACAAACTAGTGAAAACATCATGAGGATTATTCTACATTAAGTTTCTGCCAATAGTTCCCTTTCACCTAAATCTTACACACTGGACCTTTAAACACATGGCAAGCCAGAGTACGCAGCATTTCAGACTATTGGTTAATTTAGCTACTCAAGCATGAACAAGTTGTTTAAAATGAGTATCTAAGAAGTTGATGCAAAAATTTACTTGAATTAAATTTTGAGGTAAAAAAAANATCTACAAAATTGCTGGGCTACAGATTAAAAAGGCATAGGGGCTCAGCTACAAATCTACCAAAATATAAGACAGAAGAGACACATACATGTTTTGAAACATATTATAAGAATCTATATTCCCAACCAAAAATAAATAATAAACATCAGATAGCCACATGGCTGGATTCCTTAAATTTACACAGGGTGGCAGAGGACCAGAATTCAGCTCTGATAAAGGAAATCACAGCAGAAGAAATAAAATATATGATCAAAAGGTGAAAAGGATGATTCCAGTGTCTTCACTGTGATTTCTGTCCCCCATTACTGAATTGCTTTAAGAAGGGAAGTCTTAATAGGCAGTGTGAACATGAGGAGGGATTACAGCAAGTAAAACATGTAGATAATTGTACGGTGCATCTGTCCTGTTAAATTAATACATTCTCTTTTTCTTGCTTTCGATCGTTCTTGTAGATGTACGTTTCCCAGAGTTCAAAGTTCTTCAGATGTAGTCGAAATGCAAATGAGGAATGCACAAAAGGAATTACACAGCCAATTTATTTTGTGGTCTTTCTTGGGTCCAGGTCCTATAAAACTCAACTGACTCTCTTAACAGGCCAGATACACATTTGTTATGGTTTGATACCTTTTTATCCATCTCTTAAAATACCTCCAGGTAAGGCTGGGCGATGTGGCCAAATATATAATCCAATATATATTTTTAAATAATGATCAATATCAATACGCATCACAGTAAATATAGTATATCCCTGAATGTAATCATTGTTGGTTTAAAAGACCTTGTGTCATGTGGGATAATGACTAAAAAGATGTGTGTGACTGCTGCTGAGGTTTGACACACAAGAGGCATGTCAGCGATCCTGGCCTGACAGTTTGGAACCTGCTCACTGTCTCTACACTGTGATGGTGGGGAGGTAATATTCCCTGAATGTTGGTTGTCCGATCTTTGTCAGCAGGTGACCTGGGTGTATTGCTCCACTATAAATCCAGGTTTAGAAATCAGAGCCAGTTCTGAATGGCATATGTTGCGTGACTTCTCTTTGCCACAATTTCCTCATCTTGTGCAGATGTTTGATTCTTCTCATGGTCGCTCATCTTTACATTTCCAACAACAAGTGTGTGTGGTTGTTTTTTTGGTGTGTGTCAATAAATCTCATAGTAATTGTCAAGATCATTTAATCACACAGCCGTATTTCATGCCATGCATGGCAAGTTGGCTGCTGAAATAAATTGATAAATGTTTAAACGTGCATGTTAATGGGTTGAAATGCATGATTTATGCTTTGATGTGGTTGTAAGAAAGCGTATAGAGCCACTTGCATGTAGTGATTTGTCATGTTTATATGTGTACCATGTTCAGATCTTAATTTAACGGATATATTATGAGAGTTAATTTTGTCATCTCTCTCTCTCTTTGAACCTCTGCTTTGTATTTGTTTCCCTTTAATCTATGTCCCTTCTATATCCTCACTTACACTTTTCTCCCCTCTTTTCTCTACCTCCTGCAGAACGCCTCCGGCATCACCGTCCCAAAGCCTCCCAAACCTCCAGACAAGCCACTGATGCCTTACATGCGGTACAGCCGGAAGGTAAGCAGGAAGGTAAGACACCCATCCACGGTGTCTGCTTTTACTGCTTGTCCTCCCATCCCCTGAAAAGGTGCAGCGGTTTGAGGGTGGGAGACAGCCAAGCCATGATGCCTCACCACCACCTCAGCCATCTAGTGGAGACTTTCCACTCTGTTATCCAGTTGGCTTACAGTAGCATCCTGTTTTTGTCAGCACTAAAAGAGAAATAACAAGCATGTGCAAGCATGATCCGCTTCTGCGCCTTTTATTTTCCTCCTTGAATGGCTTTGCCTTCCTGCCTCTCTAGATTCCCTGCTCTCATTCTGCTTAAAGACAAAATCTACTCTAAACATTCATATTGACATAAAACCAGCGATTCTGTCTAAATAAATATTTCATTCTATGCCATCCTGCTTATTTGGAACTACACTTTTGATTCCAGTTAAAAATTCTGTTAAGTAGATGCCTCATTTAGGCGCTTTTAACGATTTCCTTTGCACCTTTTCCTCCTTAATTTCCTTCACTGTCTTGTAGTAAACTTATTTACAATTGACCGCAGTTTACCCGCAATGACCATGTGTTGTGTTTGTGTGTGTGCGTGTGGGGCGATGCCTCTGCTTGTGCATGTGTTTGCGTCTTGTGTTTGCGTACATGTGCAAGGTATGGGACCAAGTGAAGGCATCCAACCCCGACCTGAAGCTGTGGGAGATCGGGAAGATTATCGGAGGGATGTGGAGAGACCTGACTGATGAAGAGAAACAGGACTACCTGAACGAGTACGAAGCTGAAAAGGTGAGTGACCAGCGGTGAACTCATTCCTGCAGTAATGTCTCTGTCCTAAACTGAGGATCTTGACTCGTGTACACTTGAATGCACTGCTGTAAATCAGCTCTGACACAGATAGAGCCATGAAAAGAAAAACATTTCATAGCTTAAAATTTGGCTTTTATGTAAATCATTGCCTTTCCCTAAGTTTTGAACATGAACAAATATCATTAAAGACGTCTCTTACTGACTTTTGACAGGTCAGTAGGAACATCGTTTAAATTTTCTTCAATTTTATTTTCATGGTTGTTTTCCTTCAATGAAACTCTAAACTGTTATCTGCTTGCCTCGCTTAGATCGTCAGCCATTGTCTTAGACGCTAGTTGAAAAAAGATTTTGCTGGTCAAGAGTGCAAACTCTTTTTTTCCCTTTAATGTTTTTCACCTTTCCCACAAGTATTTAAGTGAATCAGTGTATTTCAGTGAATCAGTGTGTTTCACGATGACATTGTGGTTGAGATGCACACAAACGTCATATCCGGTCTTAATGGTTTTAAGCATTTGGCAATAAGGAGGAACAGTTATATGATGACTAAAATACTGTTAGTTATAACACAACTTTGCCAATTTGAAGTGTCAAAAAATACTAATGTCCTTCATAAGTAAAGAAAGAACGACTTGATGAAAGGGTTTTTGAAAAGCATCCTGTTAGTTTACAATACAAATGCACTCCTACTTAATAACAAATCTCATGTAGGGTCATTAGAAAGTAAAAGCAGACAGTAGTGGTATCATTTTACTCAGCATATTGTTTTTTCTCTCCCCCCACCTCTCCCAGATTGAGTATAATGACTCTTTGAAGGCCTACCACAACTCCCCAGCTTACCTGGCCTACATCAATGCTAAGAACCGGGCTGAGGCTGCAATGGAGGAGGAGAGCAGACAGAGGCAGAGTCGTATGGACAAAGGCGAACCATACATGAGTATTCAGCCTGCTGAGGACCCTGATGGCAAGTTATACATGTTTGGTCTTCTGAAAATAATTCAATTGCCTCAATTAAGACGTGTGAGATAAGGAATTAAAATATAACGTGCAACCAATTACTGAAAGCATGTTTATTTTTTATTGACACTAGTTAAAATGCATTTTTCAGGGTAAATGTTTTCAAAGAATGTTTAAGTTAGCAGTTGTCTTCTTCTCTTCTGCCCAGACTATGACGATGGCTTTTCAGTGAAGCACACAGCAGCTGCTCGCTTCCAAAGGAATCACCGGCTCATCAGCGACATCCTCAGTGAGATTGTGGTACCCGATGTCCGCTCAGTGGTCACCACAGCCCGCATGCAGGTCCTCAAGAGGCAGGTCCAGTCTCTTATGGTGCACCAGGTACGTTGGCAGGACAGGTTGTCTGCATTGCCCAGTTGATATTTGAGCTGGAAGTCAATTTCTGATTGTTTTGGGAACATGTTGAAGCCCTATGAGACAAATGGTGATTTGTGAATATGGGCTGTACAAAAAAAATTTGATTGATTGATGCTGCCACTGATCGTCTGTGTGCTTCATTCTGCGTCTGTTGTTGTTTTCAGAGGAAGCTAGAGGCTGAACTTCTGCAGATCGAGGATCGCCACCAAGACAAGAAAAGACGATTCCTGGAAACCACTGACTCATTCAACACTGAACTCAAGCGGGTACAGCAGCTTATACACATAGAGACAACTGAGTAGTGGGATGACGTGTCATTGCAGATTACAAAACGTCCCTTTGGAATAATGTTAATCACCCTTGAAGTAAATATGAACCCAATCATGGAGGAAGAGTATTATCACTCAAGTAGAATACAATCTAAAATGTTTGATTTGTAAAAAGACAAAGAACTTTGTCTTATATAATTACACCTCATTTTATTTTCGGAAATGTATGACCCTGAAACCTTTTGTAAGCAGAGAATAGAGTTTTGTTGACGCAAGTGATTCGTGTGTCTCCAGCTTTGCAGTCAGAAGGTCGAGGTGGACATGGAGAAGCTTGCAGCAGAGATGGCCGCTGCGGAAGAGGCAGCCAGGCGCCGGGCAGAGGAGAGGGAGCGTGAGGCAGCTGAGCAGGCAGAGAAAGCTGCTCAGCAGCAGCAACAGCAGCAGGCACAACAGCAAGCGCAACAACAACAACAACAGCAACAACAACAGCAGCAGCAGCAGGAGGCTGCTGGCAACAAAGCTGCTGAGCAGAGCAGTGCTAATGCTAAAGGCACAGCTAACCCCCCTTCAGGGACCAAGGAGGAGGACATGCCCCCACCAGTGGCGACAGGTACAGGGGGTGTGTGTGTGCATGTGTTTGTGTTGAATTGATGATAATCATCCTGTAAGTTGCTAACTCCTGCTGACTAGCGTCTTAGCTTTTATGAATTCATCCTGTTCAAATATTGATTTGAGTCAGGGGACGACCCCATTGAAAATGTCTTTTTAAAAGAAAAGTATCTCTGACCAGAATAGCATTTTGGCTCTTAATCAAAAATCATCTTAGCCCATGCTAACACATTTGAAAAGACATATCACATGAACATTGACATTCACTGGGTATGACGAGAAGCACAGTTACAGTTGCCATCAGCAAAGCATGTAAAAGGTTTTCAATGTTGCAGTCATTGGTGAGACCTAATCTCCTCCTGAGACCTAATCAGGAGGCAAACCTCTATGTCAACATAATTGTTTCCAGGAATCTCTATTTAAGGAACTTGATGACCTTGGAATAGTGTGGATGTTGAAATAGTAACAATTATGCATATTAAAACTAGGGCTGCACAATGTATCGTAAATCTATCGTCATCTCGATATCAACGGCACAATAGACGTATCGCAAGAGAAGGCAAAAACTGCACAGCGGATCAGATGGAGCCCTGCTGCCCTAGAGGATAAATTAAAGACATTGACAGGGTGTTCCGTCTGTGACACATTGTTGGAACAAGAGAATAGAGAAAATTCCACCTCTTCCAACTAAAGTCTACTGTGAAAACTTCTAGTGATCACGTTTGTCCCGAGTTAAATCACCACTAGAAGTGGTTGATTATATAAAATAATTTTGAAGCTTATTTATGATCCCAGAACCTGAGGGAAAAGTAACAGTGCACACACAGTCTGTGTCTCTCTCTCTCTCTCTCTCTTTCTTTGTGTGTGTGTGTCTCTCTCTCTTCGTCATCGCATTATTAAACAATGTTATTGCATGTTTTCCTAATATCTTGCAGCCCTAATTAAAACTAATATTTATTTGTGTGGATCTTGCTCAAATCTTATATTCTCTCTATGGCCTTCCCCAGATAAAGCATCCCCTGGAGAGCCCTCCTCAGATTCCCATCCTGCTCCACCTCCTCCATCTGATGCGCCCTCTTCTGCTTCTGATAAAGCAACTCCTCCTCCTGAGCCTCCCAGGGAGAGCAGCACCCCCAACAGCAGCATCCCCAGTGACGACGGCAGCAACAGCAGCAACAGCAACAGCATGCCCCCTCCACCCTTAGAGAACACCCCTGGAGTAGCAGCCCCAGACCCCCCAGTGGCCCAGGAAGCCAACTCCACCGCAGCTAACCCCAATGTGTCCGCAGCACCTCCACCTCCCTCAGAAGACCCAGCCCCTCCTCCTCCACCACCACCACTACTGCCCCCTAGCCAAAACAGCCAACAGTATGATATGTAAGTGTCAGTGTGTAATACACACAGTGGTAGCTGTAGATGTCTTCCCTGTGCTGCAGCTTTTCTTTTGTGAGAGGAGCAGCAGGAAGAAGTGTTTGTCATTATTAGAGAGTAAGATTGACGCCCTGTTCAGACCTGGTGTTAACATTTGTCATAGGTGATCCCATCACAAGCAGAAAGCTCTAAGTACAGGTGGGAATGCTCCCATCATGCTTTGAGCTTTGGAACAGAAATGATGATTGTGTTTATTGCATTAAGTGGGATCAGATCACATGTGGTCACTGGAGACACTTTCTGAATTCAACTGTGAACTTATCGACAGATATTGATACCAAGTCTGAACAAGGCCTGATGGTGCTGAATGGTTGAGGGTCTGTTATTAAGGTCAGAACATAGCTAACGTGCATTTGAATTTAAGAGCTATGTGTGGTTTTCATCTTGTAGCGTCAGGCATCCGGTGCAACAAAGGAGAAATGAGGATTTCACGTAAATCTGTATGTTTCCTTTAGATTTATTCATCAGTAGTAATGAGTGAGATTTTGGCCTGACTGAGTTTGTGCTCCAGGCTTTGTACAAACCTCTGGTGTAATCATCTCACCCAATGCATCTCTCTATTTGAAATAACCACGCATAGGACACTAGAGGGCTGTTAAAATGTAAATGGTCAACAATAACCTCACTGTCTGCTTTGACGTCATATACAGGTATCTCACGTAACACCTTAACATGACCGGTACTGATCTGCTCTTCCTTATTGTCCAAAATCCATTAGTTACCTCTACTTGAATTTCCAGCTGACAGGGTCCACATTCACTGAACTTATACCCAGAAGACATTCTGTCATGGGCTGCATCTGTTCATTATTTACTTAGCATGCATGTTCAAAGATGTTTTGACTAAGCACAGAGCCTGACTGTAGGTCATCAGCCCATGCCCTCATAAATCTGCAGGAAACGCTATTCTCTAGCCCTGACAGGCAGCTTTCCACTGACCTAACATACTAGCAGTATCTAGCCGCTCACTCAGCCTCGTACCTACACTATATCTGTGAAATATCATGTGCTCGACCTACAGCCCAAAAACTCAAAGGTTAAGTGATGGAGAAAAGCAGAGGATCTTCATTATGAGCTAGAAGCAGAGCACAATAAAAGCAATGATTAATCAATAATAAACTTTGATCTTGATGCTTAAATTATGTAATCGTTTCAGCTATGAGTCGACATGACTGCTACGGACTAGTGTACATTGTTCGATAGTAGAAAATGTTGTGTGACACAGGATGAAGAGACGTTAGGAGTTGCTTGTAGGGAGAACGCATGTCTTGTTTTTTTGTGTTTTTTCATATCCATAACTGCCACTGTGTAGACTAGATACTGTTGGACGTGGCTGAAAGGTTAAGAGTACAGATACCTGTATATTTCTCAGTCCAGATGTATGAACCTTTAAATCAGCACTGTATAGTTTGCTGAGATAAGACCACAGCTGCAAACTCAAGGGGTTCCTTGTATTTACCTTCTGTGTGACTAGCTGGGAAGATTTTGTGGATAAAATCCGATGCATGAGAAGGCCCCGCCCCCTTTTTAAACCTCAGAATTTTCTACTTTATCATTTTGTTTGATTTGTCAAAACAACTACTGTTAGTTCTACTTTGTGTTTTTTTAGAAATATAGAGGAACCTTTTCAGATAAATATAATCAAATTCAGCCTATGTATTAAACCTCTTTCACAACTTTGAATCAGATGCCATTTCCAACATGTTTTAGTGCGGCAGGGGGCAACACATATTGTTCCGGGACTGGAAGAAAGCCACATTTTAATTATTTATGCACCCATACCCTGCATGTCATACTGAATACTAACTATTGAAGTCTTACTCACTGAGCAAAGGCCACAAGAAACTGTTAATTGAAAAATGAAATTTAAACTTAGGACAAAATGCTTCAAAAAAACATAATTTATTTACATGATGGGCTTGTCTCCATTGTGTTTTTTAAAATCTGTTGATCAAATGACTTGCATGAATTATAAAATGTTGATGATATGGATGTCTGTCCCCCTGTATTCATCACATTTATTTCGGAAAGACTCTTAAAGAGTTGAGGCTATTTTTTTTTAGGTAGCATTGCTCCTTTAGACGTCATATTTCCTAACACCACAACAACTTCAACAGAGAAATGCACAGGCTCCCATCATCTTAATATAACCTCAGTCACTTGTGCATTTAAAGGACTATTTTCTTACTTGAATTAGACTGTTTTTAGTAATATGCCTCTGGTTTTTTTTTTGCATATTTTTTTGTACTGTCAACTTATCTATCAAAATAAAAGTGATTTCTCAGTCAGTCGTTGGCCATGTTGTGGTTTTTTTGCTCGTTTCATTAATATTTTCCCTGCATTGCAACTGAAATTTTAAAGCAGATCTTAATTTATATTAAAATTGGGCATCATAAACAATGTTAATGATACAGAAAACCTACAGGACAAATTCATAGACACAAATTTATCATAAATATATACATAACTAGAATTATCACACAGTGGTTGTATGCCTTTGCTAACCAGGGCAGTTTCTGCGTATACATATTTCAACACAATTTCTTTTCTTTAGATTCATATAAGGTCACTGTGACCTTTACCTTTGACCACTGAATTGTAATCACTTTTCTTGGGGTTGAAGTGAAAACTGATCAAAATGTGAAGAAATTCCCTCTAGCAGTCTTGAGATCTCCCAATCAAGAGGCCACTGTGACCTTTGACCACCGAAATCGAATCAGTTAATCAGTGAGTCTAAGTGAATTGTACCAGATGTAATGAAATTCACTAAGGGCAGTTCTAATGTATCACAATCACAGGGACCGAGGTCACTGTCCCTCGGGCTGATTTTAAGATATCATGGTCATGAAAAACATAAACATACTTTGTGATTCCACTGTGACCTTGATCTTTGGCTGCCAATATCAAATGAGTTCATCCTTGACTCCTAAGGCCTGAACTACGAAGATGGATTTGTGCTTATCGGGGGAACTTCTGGGTTTCCAGTCCTACAACGCTTGTTCACTTTTTATCAGGGTAAATCACCATGGTAACTTGTGCTGAATGGCTAACCTGCTCTGGAGCAGTGGGAGATAATTGATCAAGCAGTATGGGGATCCCGTGGTGCTGGGTGTGGATTGTTAGAGTATCTGAGAGGACAAGGCCTGACGAGTAGCTTAATGAAAGATGAAGATTTTCATCAGAGCGAATGATAAACCTTTATCAACTGCTGGAGTCAAACATAACCAACCTGACTGTAGGAGCAATGTGCTCACAGTACCACAGGCTGTCTGCACAGATCTACTCTTCTTAACTTAAGTTACTAATGTTGATGTTGTGGGTGTGTTAGCGGAGGGCTAACCAGACATAGTTTAATACTATTATCCTTCACTTTAAAGGTACAATGTGTAGAATTTAGTGACATCTAGTGGTGAAGGTGCATGTTGCAGCTGAACACCCCTCACCTCACCCTCTCCTTCCAAACATGAAAAAGAACCTGCGGAAGCTTCAGTTGTCATAAAAACTCAAAAGGTGTTTAGTTTGTCCAGTCTGGACTAAGGCCTCCATAGAGAGGACCCCCTCGATGTAAATATAAAGTATCTAAATATTACATACAATTTAGATGAAACGAACTCGTGAAAACATCATGAGGATTATTTTATATATAATTTGTGCCAATAGATCTCTTTCACCTAAATCTTACACACTGGACTTTTAGCTTTAACCTGTGAAATTAAATGGATGGATGGATGGATGGATGGATGGATGGATGATGGATGGATGGATTAATCAATGAATGGATGATGGATGGATGGATTAATCAATGAATGGATGATGGATGGACGGATTAATGAATGAATGAATGGATGGATGGATTAATGAATGGATGGATGGATTAATGAATGGATGAGTGGATTAATGAATGAATGGATGATGGATGGATGGATTAAAGAGTGAATGGATGATGGATGGATGGATGGATTAAAGAGTGAATGGATGATGGATGGATGGATTAATGAATGGATGGATGGATTAAAGAATGAATGGATGATGGATGGATGGATGAGTGGATTAATGAATGAAAAAAAGAATCAATGAATGTGCTGAGCAGCAGTTGAGTGACAGCCCGGACTGACACGCATGCATGTATGCGCGTCACAGACAGCACCTGACTGTGGGTGGAGAAGCTCGCCGCGCCGGAGCGCAACAGATCCACTCGCGGGTAAGCTCGATGTCGGTGCGGGTGACCTGTTCACCATGAGCCCCCGGCACTGTGCGCGCGGCTGCCTCCCCATCACGCTGCTCCAGCTGTTCCTGCTCCAGCTGCCGCCGCCGCTCGCACCTTGGCGCGTCGCGGAGCTCGCGGTGGCGGCGGAATACTCCACCAAAACCGACTTGGACTACGAGTTCGGGGACTACCGGGGGAAGTGGTGCATCGACGACCACGGTTTCGTCTACGGAATTGGAGAGGTCTATTACCCGAGCCCCTCGGCGTGTCCGTGCACGTGCACCGCGGACGGTCCGGTGTGCGTCCGACCCAAGTGTCCCCGCATCCACCCCCGGTGCACGCGGATCAGATATAAAGCGTGCTGTCCGGTGTGCGACGCTTTGGCCAGGGTCTGTGTCTACGGGGGCAAAACTTACCGGCTCCTCGAGGAATTCAGGGTGAGACACATCCACCCAGCCACACTGCTCTGTCCCATTCACAAGTTCACAGAGCTTCTGGACACTCTGCGTGCGTCCTGTCAGATTGACGCACCACCCATGATTTTATTCTTTTAACCCTCTAGAGTTTAACGATGTTTACCTTCTTAGCTTTTTTGTCTGCATGCCATAGTAATATGCAAATGCAGAGTTCCAGTTGTCTGGTCAAGATTATCTCCATTTTGAGAATATGACACATGTATCAGCGTGTACTGTGTCCACTGATGGGTGCCACTTTATATGTGATGTTTATTTCTTTCCTTACGAGGAGGTATGCACAGGGAAATTGAACTATAAAAACACAGATCCTCTTATTATTCCTCAGGATAAAGTGTCAGGTTTGTCCACATAACTATTATTATAAATATCACTTTCATTGTGTTATCATTAAAATACCAGTAAGATCTTTATATATCAATAAAAAGCAAATTTGCATTGTACATATATATATATATCTAATGCAATTTTAAGCTTTATATATATATAATATTGGAAACATGACTGTGTAATAGATATTCCCAAATTCAAAGAGAATCTTCCACAACACTGCAGTCCCCTCAGTGTTTGAGCATCTTTCAGCTCACTGTTTTGGTTTCATAGTTTAACTTTCACAGAGCTCACATTGACATAGAGTCTGGCTGTATGTCAATGTTATGTTTTGCTTCTGTTTCCCACATGCAAGTGGAGAAATGATCTATTATTGCTGCAGTAAATTCATTAATAATCATTTCATTAGCTCACCAAGGTGGGGTTTTTTTTCCCACTAGCCCATTTTCTTGTTTTGGATTCTGCAAAAACTACTGAAGGCTTTTCCTCAACACTTTGGACATGGACTGGGAAAGAACCCATGAATCCAGGAATTTTGTTATCACTTTCTTTAATATCGTAGGTTCATCGACATTTTCATTGATTTCCCAGGGAATAATTCACGGATCTTGATCATGTTTAGAGGACTGATCTCTTGTGTTGCAGCTTGATTGAACTTTGAGGACTGTGGATCTTGGTGGAGGTGTTCACTCTGCCTCATCCTATCTCCACATTCCAACTAGCTATGAATATGCAGCATGCTTCAAGTCGGAATGAGCAGTCAGGTGTCAGGTGTGAGGCAGGTGGACTGTGTTTTATGTAATGATGGTGTATTGAAGACCATTCATCAAACCAGCAACACTACATACAGATCCCCCCCCCCCCCCATTCTACTGTAATCTCTCACATTGTCATTATTGATGAGACCGAGAGTTCAAATAACCTCACGTGGAAGCTGTAAGTCAATGAAGTTCAAATGGGTTGTGTGTTGCAGTTGTCCAGGTGTGAGTGGTGTCGCTGCGAGGCCAACAGAGAGGTGTACTGCAGCATCTCAGACTGCCCCGCCCCCCACTGCGTCAACCCCACCTACGAACCCAACCATTGCTGCCCCATCTGTAAGACTGGTGAGTCTCAGTCAGTCCAACACAATGGTCTCAGGGACATTCATGGTCCTCAGAGGACAGTGAATATCTTTGTCACTTCTATTTAGCATCACACTGATCTCAAAGTTTCTATTTGTACAGAGCCACTTAAAGAGATGTGGTATATTGTGATGAATATATGTGTGTGTGTGTGTGTGTGTGTGTCACTTTATGGAACTTGTCTTTGTATGGGGACAAAAAGCAAGTTCCCATTAAATTAGATTAGATAAGGATAAGGTTGGGTTTAGGTTTGAGTAAGAGTAAGAGTTAGGGTTTGGCAAGTAGTTAGGTTAGAGTAAGTCTCTGGGAAATCAATGTAAGTTAATGTACTGTCCTCTGAAGGCATGGAGACACAACTGTGTGTGTGTGTGTTAAGATGGGATGTGACAGCACGTGTTTGCCTGTAGTACAGAGGGGAGTACATGTGCATGAGGATCAAACTATTTTCACGAGCAAGCAATCTTTTGACAGCCACAGCTGAGGGGTAGGGCAGTCGTCCTCCAACCGGGAGGTCGGCAGTCGAATCCAAGCCCATGCCAAAATGTCCTTGGGCAAGATGCTGAACCCTGAATGGCCCCTCATGGATGGTGAATGCATTAATTCAAAGTCGTTTTGGATAAAAGTGTCAGCTAAATTACATGTAAATCTAATGTAATGTCAAACTATAAATCAGATCAATTCTGATCTTAATACCAATACCAGTATGGCACCTACACACACACAAACACACACACACAGACACACACACACTGAAGCTGGTGCCTTGAGTGTGTGACATCAGAAGTTTGTGACAGCGTGTGTTCCTTTGCAGCTCCCTGAAGCAGCTCTAGTTACATCACCTCACAGAGCCAGCAGCTTATAGCACCACGCTGTTATGTCATACATGATGTTAATGCCACCGGCACTGAAGTCTGTTTCCAACATTGGTGGGATTTATGTGTGTGTGTGTGTGTGTGTGTAGGACAGGAACAGCAGGGATAATAATAATGAGACAGATGGTTTGGTTTGATGCGTCACTTGTTACCCCCCCTCCCCCGCTCCTACCATTTCGCTCAAGTCAGCTGTGTTTTATTGAACCCAGTTGGGTCTGGCATCAGATGAACTGTACTTCCTGTCCTCCCGTTGTGGCGTTGGTAATTGTTTCAGGCGGGAGCTGCCAAATAAAGGAACCCCCATCTGAGAGAGAGGGATATCAAAGACAGGCTGTTTACATTTCTGCCTGGTATTCAGTGTGTGCATTCCAAACATCACTGAAAATAGTATTTGAACCATTTTGGTGTTATAACTTTATTGTGTTATAGAAAATTAATCTTTTTCTGAAATGTATGCAAATTTATTTAAAAAACTACACTGAAATGTGTCGCTAAAGTATTGTGTAATCTTAATTTAGTAGTCTCTGGAAGCCTCTGTGACAGCCTCCAATTCAATTCAATTTTATTTGTATAGCACCAAATCATAATATACATTATCTCAAGCGGTTTACATTAAAATCTTTGGCACTTTGAGCACCTGGATTGGGGCAGTTTAACACTTTCTTGGAGGCAGATCCTCTCCAGCTCCATCAGACTGGACGTAAACAGTCTGAACTGCCGTCTCCACGTCTTCTTCTCCTCTCAGTCCTGTGCGGTGTACCTGTCCCTGTCACTGAGAAGCCATGCCACCACTTTGCATCACTGTAGGGATCAAAGCAGATTATATTTGTACAGCCCATAGTCACAAATCCCTGTTTGCCTCATAGGGCTTAACAAGGTGTGGCATCCTCCGCTCTTAGATCCTCTGGAAAAACGTCCCCAAAACACAAAAACATGTCTGACGGATGTGTGTTTTGGTGAAGTCTGTTCCTTCCTTGAATAGTGTTTCTCTTTACATTAACCAAACCAACCTTTTTACCTCTGCTTGCCATCACCTAACATAATGTATAACCCCAGCCGTGGATGGGAAAGCCAATGGAAGCATTATTCCAACATGAGGGAAACTTAGCCACAAGACCGACTGTACCATGTTTCCTGAATCTTTAGGTCCCAACTGCTTTGCTGGGAGCAGGGTGATCCCAGCAGGGGAGCGTGTCAACATTGACCGGCAAACAGTTTGCTACTGCACCTACAGGGACGGGACGTGGCACACCCACCCCCACGCCACCTGCGAGCAGCAGTCCCAGCCCAGCCCATCGCCTGATGCCCGCACTAAGCTCTCCAGGGACGAGGAAACCAGGGGGAAAGGCGTGAGACCGTTTATTCCCAGACTGGATGCGATTCCATGAAGTGGACTGTAAAATGTTCAATGTGTTCAGAGAGCCGCTCTGCAGGTACAATCAAACTCTTATCTGTTAGTATCAGAAGCGATCACTGGGCATCAGTATAGCAATAATCAACCTGCACATTTAAGTTGACAACACAAACGTTTGGTTTATCTCCAGTGTCCACCGGATACAGCTGAATTGCTTTGTGGTTGTGCTTCGGCTCAATCATGGCCACATGTTTCAGAGGTGGGATGTCTGTTCTTCAGCAACCACAGTTCTGATACAGTTACAATATAACACACTTGCATTTCTCATTTCGATGGATGGAGAGAGGTTTGTGGTGCTACGTGAAGTATTTACTACCCGATGTCTTTTTTACCTGAGTGGTCATAACATTGTGTCCTAGCCTACGTCCACTTTAAAGCGCACAAACTCTACATTTTGGGCCTTCCAGGTTATTTTCTAGAGAAGTGGATTGGAGGTGGTGTGTGATTAAACCTCAACCATCAACCTTTTTTTTAACACTCATAAATGTCAGTGTAGATAATCACACAGAGCAGCTGCTGCCATTAACCTCTATTTGTGTTTATTTTCTATCAAAGAGAAAAAAGAATTTAGAGACAGAGAGTCACAAGTGAGGGATCCCTGCAGGACGGACATATGTGCAATAGACATCACATCAACAACATAACAACATTAACCTATCAATGTTTAAAGTATTTATAAAGAATAAAATGTCTGACAAAGATGAGGCGAGCAGTGATTGTAATGATAGAGGCAATAGTAGTATATGTGGGCAGGCATATTGTATATCTAAATAATGTCGTGATGTCGTGATGATGAGACAATGATTTCTTTTTACAGGAAAATCTGAAACTGAGAATTTTACTGACATAAACTAAACGACTGAGCTTAAGTTACAAAGACACAAACATGGTAGAAAACTAGGTCACAGGAAACAGCTGTTCACAGTGATATGAGGATCCTCAAATCCTCTGCACACACCAGGAGACAGAGCTGTTGAAAAATGTATATTTGTAAAGATGGAGTCCAGGAGAGACACACTCGAAGTTGGTCGACCAAGGTCACAGGGTGTGCTTTAGTTCTATATGATACATACACACATATACAGTGGTATGAAAAAGTTTGGGCTCATTTTCAAGATTTTCCTTTATGTATCATTGGTTGTTCGGAACAGCAATTTCAATTAAATATATCATATAGCAGACAAACACAGTGATATTTAAGAAGTGAAATGAAGTTTATAGGATTTACAGAAAGTGTGCAATAATTACTTAAACAAAAGTAGGCAGGTGCATAAATTTGGGCACCCTTGTTGTTTTATTGATTTGAATACCTTTAGCACTAATTATTGGAACACAAAATTTGTTTGGTAAGCT